CAAGATGTACTGCAGAAGCTTACTAAGTTTCTTCAGACAGCACCTTCCAAACCCATGCTTACTGTTATTTAGAAGAACAAGGCAAACAGGTACATGGGGCTACCACCACCTGTAAATCCCCCTTCAAGCCATTCACCATCCAGACGTGGACATATATCACTGTTCCTTAAGTGTTGCTGGGCCAAATCCCTGGAATTCCATCCCCAGTAGCATTATGGATCTATGTGCAGCAAATGAATTGCAGTTGTCAAAGAAGGCAGCTCATTTACCACCTTAAGGAGCAACTAAAAGTGGACAATAAATGCTGACTCAGCTAGTGATGTCCATATCCCATGAATGAATTAAAAAGAACTGACTGTGATGCATTCTTAATGACAATGTCTCTACCAATCAGAGTCCACTTGGCAACTAATTAGCATCCTTTTCTCACGCAGTATAAATTTTGACCCTGTTGAGATTTGGTATTCTTATGATTTTGTCCTGATGAGTGCAAGACAGAAAGGTTCAACAGTGTGTCCCTTCCTTTCAGCAGTACTTTTGTAGTGGGGGCCTGTTAGCTAGATGACTGGTTTCCAAAGCAGTGTAACACTAACAGTGCAGGTTCAATTCCCACACCGGCTGAGGTTACCATGAAGGTCCCAGCTTCTCAACTTTGCCCTTTTGTCTGAGGCATGATGACCCTCTGAAAGAACCACCAGCAGTCATCTCTCTCTGATTAGAGAGCAGCCCCTTGATTCCCTGGGACTAGAGCAACTTTAGCTTTACCTTTTATATCTGTTGCCTGAGTTCTAGTCATCTAGGAAGTGAAAATGTCTTATCTACAATGGTCTTCTTGAATTATTCCATAATTTTAAACACTTCAAGTCATTTCCCAACCTAGAAAAAGATAGTGTAGTGTATTTGTTGTTTTATCATAGGTATTCTCTCTCGATTCCAGTATTTTTGTAAATCTAACTATTGTACTTGCTTCAGTCCCTCCATACCTTTCTCAGAATACAGACTCCTTTTATAATGTTATACGGTGAATAACAATGCAGTCTATTTGTATATTTTTACATATGGCCTGACCAATTGTATCCTAATAACATTTTCTATGTAAAGGAAATTACAATATTTGGTGTTCCAATCCATGAAGATCCACTTGTGCTGTATCATCAGGTGCCTTGCATTATATTGAGAAAACATCAGCAGGTTTTCTGATCCTGCATGCTGATTTCTGGCTTCCAATACAACTAAAAACAGACTGCACTTCAGAAGTACTCAATTGCTGACAAGTTTTTTGTGATGTTCAGAATGAAAGACTCCGTACGTATGTAAATCGCTCCTTGAAAAGGTTGTGTCAGCTCTGGGTGCTGCCTAAGTTTTGATTTCTATTGGATCATTGAACATAGGAAGATGTTAATCAGGATTAACATAGAGATCTCATAGTGACATAAGAGTCAAATACAGGAGCAAAACCAAAGTTGCTGGAAAAGCTCAGCAGGTCTGGCAGCAACTGTGAAGGAAGAAAACAGGGTTGACGTTTCGGGTCCGGTGATCCTTTCACAGAACTGATGTCATCAGTTCTGAGGAAGGGTCACCGGACCCAAAACATTAACTCTTTTTTTTACCTTCACAGATGCGTCCGCAGTTCTTTCAGTCTTTGAGTCAAATACATCACTGCAATGGTTCATGTACAGATGAAATATTTGACAAATTTTATCATATCCTATTTTGTAATATTGAATGTCCCATGGTTTACACTACTTTACAGACACCACTGTATACGTAATTTCCGTTTGATACTGTATCTTAAGCAGTGTTGTAAACAACTGTTAGGTTTATTTTTAACTAAGTGAGTCACTACTTGTCATGTGAGCCTGCTGATAGAATTTCTTTTAGGTAGGAAGGTACTCTAAACTGAACTGACAAATCGTTGGCAATAGTGAACTCTTTGGCTCAGGCTGTGTCCTGTGGATAAGCCAAGTGGAGAGTTGTAAATTAGACTGTAATGGCACCTATGTGAAGGTTTATTATCATGGATTACCTTCTGCTGTGCAATTTCCTTCAGAGTTTCACAACATTTGAACTTAAGATCATGTAGAAGATTTGAATGCCACTGTTCATGAGTAGAGACGTTTGAAAATGCTTCACAGCATTGAAGTACAGTGCAGTAAATGTTATAATATCGGAAATGTCAAACACTTTGCATGCATCAAGCAATGGTGAATCTGTTTTAATGACATTGTGTTAAGAAATAACTATTGGTCAGGACACTAGGATAACTCTCCTACCCTCCTTTTGACTAGTACAATGGATTTTTTTTATGTTTACCTGAAAAAGTAGATAGTTTAATGTTGCACATAAAAGACATGATGTGGAGGTGCCAGTGTTGGACTGGGGTGGACAATGTCAGAAATCAGAAGTCATGAGACACCAGGTTATAATCCAACAGGTTTATTTGAAATCATAAGGTATCAGAGCAGCACACTTAAAAAGCGGCATTCCATCTGTACTGCACTGGATGTCAGGCTAGAGGAGAACTTGATTGCAGTGTCACAGCTGATACTTAAACTCTGGCCAAGTTTTCTTTTTCAAGAGTAGTTTGTTTCAGGTACTGATTTTTTTAATGCCTTCCTGGTACAAGGAGTCCCAAAGCAATTTGGGTAAAATTCAACCGGAATGCTAAAGCTTAATAGTGCATTAGCTGCCACTCATGTTCCTGCTCAATTTCTTTTTTCCTTAAAGTGAAATATAAATTCTTGGGAGCATCGGTAGGAAATTGTACAGATGAAAAGGGCGTTTCTGATACTTTGACTGTGTCAGGGCCGCAAACCTGATTGGAGATTCTGATGAAATGTCATTGGACTCAAAACATTACCTCTGCTTTCTCTCTACAGATACTGCCAGACCTGCTGAGTTTTCACAGCCGTTTCTGTTTTTGTTTCTGATTTCCAGCACCTGCAGTTTGTTTTTTTTTTGACCTTCGAAATATTTGTCATGATTTGTCATGATATTTGTATGACAACATGTCATACCAGCAATTTCTTGTCCTTTCCAAGAACTTCACTGGACTGGTTGTGAACCTTCAGAGATTCAGACACTGTAGTAGCACTTGCCCCTCTTCAATAGCCTCAGGACCTATCCATGTAATTAAGACTCCCTTTCTGTCTATATTTAGTGATGTTTGCCAATGTAAGCTCATTCCCCTATCAAATCCAGATAAGCAATGCATTCATAATGAAGTGTGCGTGGAGAATGCTGGAAAAATGCAGGTAAATATCTAAGTCAGAACTGGGAAGCATTAACAGCAGTGCTGTGGAGGGGTTGGGAGGAAATAACAAGGGAGATTACATGACTTAAGAGATGGTGCAATGTACAAGGAATTGGTAATTGGGAAAGTGAAGAATCAAAATGAGCGTCTGTAGGAGGAGTGAATGAGAATAACAAAATCATCATTAGCTGGCATGACGCACGTGTAGCAAGAAGGGGTGGGGCAGCAATTATGATTTGAAATTGTTCAATTCAGTGTTGAGTCTGGAAGGCTGTATGCGCTCTAAGAGAAGATACTGTTCTTCAAGTTTGTCTTGAGTTTTGTTGGAACA